TACCTGAATGGTCTAGTGGTTTTCCCTACTTTCTTCAATTTAAGTCTGAATTTGGCAATAAGGAGTTCATGATCTGAGCCACAGTCAGCTCCCAGTCTTGTTTTTGCTGACTGTTTAGAGCTTTTCCATCTTTAGCTGCAAAGAATATAATCAATCTGATTTCAGTGTTGACCATCTGGTGATGTCCATGTGTAGAGTCTTCTCTTGTGTTGTTGGAAGAGGGTGTTTGCTATGACCAGTGTGTTCTCCTGGCAAAACTCTGTTAGCCATTGCTCTGCTTCATTTTGTACTCCAAGGCCAAATTTGCCTGTTATTCCAGGCATCTCTTGACTTCCTACTTTTGCATTCCAGTCCCCTATAATGCAAAGGATATCTTTTTTTTGGGTGTTAGCTCTAGAAGATCTTATAGGTCTTCATAGAACCATTGAACTTCAGCTTCTTTGGCATTAGTGGTTGGGGGCACAGACTTGGATTACTGTGATATTGAATGGTTTGCCTTGAAAACGAACAGAGATCATTCTGTTGTTTTCAAGAATGAACCCAAGTACTGCATTTCAGACTCTTTTGTTGATTATGAGGGTTCCTCCATTTCTTCTAAGGGATTCTTGCCCACAGTAGTAGATATAATGGTAATCTGAGTTAGATTCGCTCATTCCAGTCCATTTTAATTCACTGATTCCTAAAATGTCGATGTTCATTCTTTTTTTTTTTCCTTGCCATCTCCTATTTGACCACTTCTAATTTACCTCATTTCATGGACCTAACATTCCAAGTTCCTATGCAATATTGCTCTCTACAACATCGGACTTTACTTCCGTCACCAGTCACATCCACACCTGGGTGTTACTTTCGCTTTGGCTCCATCTCTTCCTTCTCTCTGGTGTTATTTCTCCACTGATCTCCAGTAGCAAATCGGGCACCTAACAACCTTGGGAGCTCATCTTTCAGTGTCATATAAGTGATAAAATCCAGGGTGAAGTGAGCACAGGGGAGATCATGATATAGGGAGGCTGGACCGAGCCTGCAGGGCCTCAGAGGCCACAGCTGGGCATTGGTCTTCTCTCTCAGAGCAAGAGGAAAGCCTCAAAAAGATTCCAGGCAGAGGCTGGGTGGGGACAATGAAAGGGAGAGGTAATGTGAACAGGCCTACATTCTAGAACAACCTCTGGCTTCTGTGCAGAGAGTGGATTAAAGTCAAAAGAGGAAGCCATTAATGCATGTACGTGGAATCTAGAAAAAGAGATTTGCAAAGCAGAAATAGAGACACAGATCTAGAGAACAAACATATGGACATCGAGGGATGGACAATGGAGGGTGGGAGGGACTGGGAGGTGGACACTGACACATAAACACTATTGATAAACTAATGACAACAGACCCTGCAGCACAGGGAACTCGACTCGGCACCCTGCAGGGACCCAAACGGGAAGGAAATCCAAAGGAGAGCAGACACATGTGCATGTGTGGCTGGTTTATCTCGCTGCACAGCACTCTGCAGTAGAGACTAATGTAACATTGTAAAGCAACTATACTCCAATAAAAATTAATTTTAAAAAAGAAATAATTTTTTTAAAAAAGAGGAAGCTGAAAAGCCGGTGTGAAAGTCTACCTGTGACCCAGGCAAGGGTGGATGGCACAGCACCAGGGCAGTGGTGGCAGAGATGGAGAGACGTGAGCAGGCCTGAGATGGACTCAGGAGGTGAAGGGGTACGACGGAGTGATTGACAAGGAGAGGGAGGAGGACGGGGGGAAGAGAGAAGCGTGACCCCTGGGTTTCTGAAGCAGCACCAGAGTGATGAAGTGGCCTTTCGAGACAAGGAGCACTAAAGCATGAGTGGATGGAGATGAATCAAGAGTTCAGTTTGGGAGATGTTGAGCCGGGAGAGCCTGCATGAGCATCTAGGGCATCTAGCCTACAGGGCATCTAGTGGTCTAGAGATGGGCCAGAAGAGCCTGTGTGTGCAAACACACATTCAGCACATACACAGGTGCACCGTAAGATCTGAGGGCTTCCCTGGTGGCTAAGACAGTAAAGAATCTGCCTGCAATTCAGGAGATCTGGGATCGACCTGGGCCAGGAAGATCCCCTGGAGAGGTGAATGGCTACCCACTCCAGTATTTTTATCTGGAGAATTCCATGGACAGACAAGCCTGGTGGACTACAGTCTGTCCAGTAGCAAAGAGTCAGACAAGACTGAGCAACTAACACTTTAACTTTTCATAAGATCTGAATTTATTTGGCCCACATCAAGGATGGCCGCACAGAGCACAGAAGACCTGGTAAGTAACCTTCAGCACAGGCATGTTACAGTCCTGGGGTTTCTAATGGAAAGAGTGATCCTATTACACAAACAAAGACATTCCTGAGAGTAAAAGTCTGCATTTTAAAAAATTATGATGGGACAACAGGCATAGAGGTTGTCCCATGGTCACTTTACTAACCAGCCTGTGTAGTTTCGGTCATTCTGCGCATGTAAAGTAGGATCCTACCATATCTGAAAAGCTCGGTTTTGTACCATGTCACAGCTTTATGATACCTGGTGGGTTATGGCTATATTCAGGAGAAAGGTACACAAGCAATTGATGTCCTTAATAGGAACAAGATAGAGCCAAGATATGAGCCTCCTGCTTTGAAGCCAAACCCAGAGTCCATATGGTCACACTGGTCACATCCTCAGCTGGACATCTTTCAGCCTCACCTGGACATCTCTGCGCACCTTTCTGTCTCCAGCTTAATGACATCCTGGCAAAGCTGCCTCTCAGAGCAGCCAAGACAAGGCAGCTGTGCCGTGGGTCACGTACATCAAGTTCCTAAGTGGTATCTGATAGCAACTGAAGTGCTGGGGAGAGTTGAGGCCATCCATGGTGTGACGGTTAATTCTGTGAGTCAACTTGACTGAGCTAAGAGATGCCCCTGTAGCTGGCAAGGCATTATTTCTGGGTGTGTCTAAGACAGGGTTTCCAGAATTGGTTAGCATTTGAGTTGGAAACCTGAATAAAGCAAACGGCACAGCCCAGTGTAGATGACCATCTTCCAATCCTCTGAAGGCCCAACTAGAACAAAAGCATTTCCTCCGGGCACACCTTCCCTGGAATACACTGGCTATAATTCTCACAGGCCTGTTTCATGCAGGTATTCGTCAGGAATGTATATAAGGCCTTCAGTCCCATTGATAAAGAATAGATTTGGCATTCAGGATGTTGAGACATCAACTTTATCAGTAATAGTTGGACTGTAGAAGTCTCCCTGAATATTTACCAGCTGTGTCTGTGTAGTCCAGAAGGAAAGAAATGACTTCAAATTATGGAGAAGTGTTCTTCGCCTAAGGTCCCATTACTCTCAGACTCCCAAACAAAATTCAGGGATGCCTCACTTGTAGCTAAAGTTCAGAATCTCAAAGCTCAAAGAAATCTAAAAGTTTCCTGAATCCAGATGACACATGACTTTTATCATACCCTTAAGAATGCACTCAGCCTTGGTTTGCATACCTCTGGGGGGTGGTGAACTTACTACCAACAGAGTTACCTACTGCCCTTCCCAACAGCTAAACCCAGAATAAAATTCTTCCCCATGAGCCATTGTAAAAGCTACCACCCCCATCAGAGCCCCGAGCACAGCTGGTCACGTACCTGTAGGCACCGCTGGGTCCAGCATTGGTTTCTCCCATGTGTTAATCTGCTCCCAGGTAAACCCACTGGTCCCCAGGGCCACGCTATAACCACAGTTGCTGTAGTGCTCCTCAAAGGAACAGCCACCTGCAGACAAAAGAGACATGGTAAATATATCCTTATGTCTGAGGCTTGGTTCGTTACCCCTGTCTCAGCGGCTCTTCATTTACAGCTTTGAATTTTAAACTCTGGTGGAGATTTTCCTAAAAGCAAGCAAATTGGATTTTTATATTTGCTTTGGTGCTCTAAGGAAAGACTGTGGCATCTGCAAGCCCCCTATTTAAAAAAGTTAATAAGGCTAGTTACATTGATTTCAATCTTCCTTCCTGAGAAAGTAAACAGCAACGTCTCCATCTAAGTAGAAAAAATGAATGCCAGGGCATGCCTCTGTAATTGCTTCCTCCAATGTGGAGAGATGCTGCAAGGCAGCGGGCTGAGTACCAGCTTCGGAGTCCTGCAAAACGAGACACGGATCTCAGCTTTACAAAGCCAGGTCAGCCTGGACCAGATGCCTCACCATCTGTGTCTCAGTTTCCTTACCTGGAATACGGAGGGGAAGATCCACTTCGCAGAAATATCAGGAGGATAAAATAGAGTAATATACAGAAAGTAACTGACACAGCAAAAATTCTCAGCACCCACCTCCTTCCCTATAAGAATAGTTTTCATGGAGTAAAAATCAAATTTGTGGAGAATTAGACAATTGTGCCCCAGGAAGACAATGAAGTCAAGGCTGGCAGTATTTAAAGCTTCTCCCTAAAAGTCCAAGCCATCCACCGCCAGTACTTTACAATGAGTTGCGTAAACTGGATTGAGCACACGCTCTGGGCTCTAAGTTCCCTCAGGTGACACTTAGAGAGATGTGATGTATAGAACAGGGGTTACAACCAGGAAATGCTGGTCTGCACAGAGAAGCGAAAGGAGACTATATTCTGGAAGGGGAGGTAGAAGGGGAGAAATACTCAGGGCTTTGAAGTTCAGGAGCATCTCCACTGGCAAATAGCAGGAAGAAGAGCTCTCCAGGGGGAGCTGGCAGGATGTCCAGAGGAGAGAGACCACCACGAATGAGCTTTACACGCTGGTCCACATTTCCAGCGCCCCTTCTTGTCTCCTTACTGCTCAGACCGCATCACACCATCACCTCACTTCCTTAAACAGCCACTGGTTCCCCATCACACATCCAAACCACATCCATGGTTCTGGTCCACATACAGAAACCATCCCTTACTAACCCCTGCCTGTGTCTGCAGCCTCATGTAATATCACTCCCTCTTCTCCATCAGCCACAAAGGTCAAAACCCTTCTTCTGTACCCAGGCCTGGGGTTTCCTCTGCTTAGTGGTGGTGGAAGGCCTGTTGACAGATCAGATACAGAATACAGTCACAACACTGCTAAAGTAAACCCATGAGAGGGTAAAGCTCTCTCCACTCCCTTTCTTTCTGAGTGTGGAAACCTGGAAGAATGAGTCTTTAGCAGCCCCAACGAATCGGGCTGGACAAAGGAGGGCTGAATCTATTTCGGTAGTGCAAGTTTGGGGCTTGAGTTCAGAGTTTTAAATAGCTCTGCACTAGACAGCAATAAGAACTTGCAGTATAGATACCTAGAGAGAGAGAAGGAAAAGAGAGGGAGAGAGAGGTCCAAGAAACGTAATGTAAAGCAGACACCTACAGAAGGTGAGAGACAGTGAGAAATTTCCTGTGATGGGAAACGACCGAGGCCCTGGTAGAAACTAAAATTTCTGTTTGCTTCCATGTATTCATTCTTTCATTCACAATTATTTAATCGAGCTTTTATGGTAGATTGAGCAGAGAACAAGGTGCCATCTATACAGTGGTTTATAAGAGGCTTGCCATCACTAGAATGAGTGAGGTAACTGGCAGTAAATAAGCACACCAGTGAGTAACTGCATTTCCAAATGTGCTATGAAGGCTGCCATTGGGTTGTCTGAGGGGATCCCTGGTTGGTGTGGTCCAGGAAGCCCTTCTGACCATGAACTGGCAACAGTTCCCTGTCCTGTAGTGTGAAGTCCCTGCACTACACCCAAGCCCTCAGCGAGAGCTGGCTGCAAAGAGCAACCATGTCGCTGGTGCTTTGGGGAACTAAGGGAAGAATGGTGGACAATGTGGATGGATAAGGGTCAAAAGACAAAGATGGAAGTCCCAAGAGGTAAGAGGAAAGGTCAGGGCAGACAGCAGAGGAGACTGCGGCCGAGATAGAGTGAAGAAGGGTGACCTCTGAAAGGCAAGGACAGGTGCAATCAACCAGCTTCCACTAGACAGTAAGCTTTAGACTGGCTGGGAAATGGCGCTGGCATACAGGAGGGGCTGACTAAAAAATCCAATGGGCTTCCCTGGTGGCTCAACGGTAAAGGAGCCGCCTGCCAGTGGGGAAGATGTGGGTCAGATCCCCTGAGTCAGGAAGGTCCCCTGGAGAAGGGAACGGCAACTCACTCCAGTATTCTTGCCTGGAGAATTCCATGGACAGAGGAGCCTGGGGACTACAGTCTATGGGTTCCCAAAAGAGTTAGACGCAACTGCGACTGAACAACTACAAATGAACCAGAAAAAGACTTTTTCATAAATAAAAAAATTTTAAAAAGGTACAATCTATTTGATAAGTTAGCCTTAAAAATGCATTCCAATATACATTAGGTACAGACAAACACTGTTCAATTCCATTTATACAAGATACCTGGTGGGGGTGGCGGTTTTCTGGTTAGGTTGTGTCAGACTGTTTTATACAAGGTACTAAGAAGAGTCAGATTCATAGGGTCAGAAAGTACATGGGTAGAGGCCAAGGGCCGGGGAACAGGAAGGATGGGCTTAGTGTTTAGTGCGGACAAGGTTTCAGTTTAGGCAGATGAAAACTTAAGGTGGTGGATGATGGTGAGAGTTACAGAGCAATGTGAATGTGCTTAATGCCACTGAAGTGTATGGTTAAATATGGTTAAAACAGGATATATATATATATTTTTTCTTTTACAGTCAATTTTATTTTAATATAATCTAAACACATACCATTTAGAAAATACCAAGAAAAATTTATGTACAAGAGTTGACGCTATTGCATTTGGATAAAGCTGGCAAGTTCTTGCTACTAGCATAGCCCAGGAAACACCACCGAGGAAACCTACTATATTGGAATAGATGTTGTGGCGTTTGGCCCACAGTTTGATAGCTCTCAGGGTTAACCTGAAGTTGTCAATGTTTGGTACTAGATGTAAAATTTCATCGGTTACCCTGCAACCGTTAAGACTTCTTATACATCTTATATCTAAATTTTTAAGCAGACTGTCATCTCTTAAGTCCAAGTCTTCTGGAATAGTCTGCAGTGCTAATCTTGCAAACAAAATATCAATCTCTATCCCATCAAAACACAGTTTGATAACTGGTACAAATGCCTCTTCAACAGCTCTTAAATCTTCTACTTCTTCCTGTAATTTCAACTTATCATAGAAGGAGGTGAAAAAAATCACTTTGATCAACATGTCTTGGTGCAACACACAATGCATCAATATCAGCACCTTTTATACGTACTCCTAATCTATAAGATCCAAATGTAAAAGTTTTCCCACCAACATTTGCAACTACAGATTGTGGAAGATTCTTGCTTTCACTGATTTCTCGTATCCACTCTTTTACCAGGTTATTTAATTTTCCCAAAATTAAAATCCTGCGCTGCAGTTCCTCTTCCTCTTCAAAAACCCCAAAGGGCTTCAGAGTCTCAACTAGCTTCTGTGTGAGCAGGCAGTCAGTCTCCTTGGGCGCTGCTAAGCTGATGGGAGAAGTAATGCCATAGTGCTTCTGTGGCAGCTATGTTTGCTGTGATCCCTGTGTTGTGACTGGAAATGGCATGTCTGCTGCGCCGGCACCGCCCAGTCACTCCCCGCCCCGCCCCGCGCCCCGCCACCGAGGCGGGAGGGAGCGGGGCGGGGGCCTGCCTTAGCCCTGGGTCCTACCCCCCTAAGCAATTTTAAAAGCAAAGCCTGGGAAGATCCATCTGTTTCCATGAAGCTAAGCTGGGTCCCAGAATAAAGCTCAACAATGTTAACAGGAATATCCATTCACAGTGCCTGCTATCCTACCAAAGACTACTTGGCATGCAGAGAAGCAGCAAAGTACACCCGCAAAAAGGAGAAAAATTAATCATGCGAAGCCAACCCTGGGCTGGGAGAGAATTAGAACTGGAAGATAGAACATTAACAGCTATACTGTATTTCATACAGTCACAAGGAAGATATTTTAAATATGCTATATAAAGACACGGAAGATATTAAAAAGACTCAAATAGAACTTCTAGAAATGAAAACTATAATATGTGAGATGGAAAAGGTACTGAATGGAAATAATGACAGATTTTACAATAGAAAACACTAGTGAACCTGAAGACACAGCAATAGAGACTGTCCCAAAATGAAACAAAAACCTAAAAAAATGAAAAAGTGTAAATGAACAGAGCATCAGTGGACTGTGTCACAACTTCAAGCAGCCTACATACATATAACTTGAGTCCCAGAAAAAGGGAAACAGAAAAAAATATTTTAAAGATAAGGGAAGGAGTTTTTTCAATTTGATGGAAACAATAAACCTAGAAGTCCAAGAAGCCGAATAAACTCCAAGTACAAAAAACATGAAGAACACTACATCCTGGAACATCAAAATCAGACTGTCGAGTCCATGATGAGGAGAAAATCTTACATGCAGCCAGAAGTTGCATATATATGCAAACAATACAGATGACAGGAGACTTCCTGTCAGAAACAATGCAAATGAGGATTCAGTAGAACAGCATCTTTAAGGTACTGAAAGATAAATACTGTCACCCTAGAATTCTATGATTTGTTAAAATGTGTTTAAAACATGAACGTGAAATAAAGACACTTTCAGATGTACAAAAATGTAAAGGATTCATCACTGGTAGACTTGTACTATAAGAGATATAAAAGGAATGCCTTAGGCAGAAGAAGAATGATACCAGATAAATCTACATAAAGGAATGAAAAACACTGAGAGATGAGTACAGGGAAAAACACTTAAATTTCTTTAAAAGATAATAATTACATAAAAATAATAACAACATAGGGTGGGATTTCTAACACATGTAGAAATATATGCCAACAGACAAAGACCAAGGCAGGTAAATGGAAGTATAGTATTTTAAGTTTTTTATACATGAAGTGGTATAATATCTCTAGAAGACAGACTGTAAAAAATTAAATACATACACCATAAACTCTAAAGCAACAACTAAAATAAACACCACTTTAAATACCAAGACATACATAGGTTAAAAGTAAAAGATTAGAAAGAGATATAAGATTAATCAAAAAAAAGCTAGAGAGAAAATATTAATATAGACAAAGTATATTTTAGAGGAAAGAAAATACAAGGGNGGATTTATCTCTGGGCTTTCTATTCTGTTCCATTGATCTATATTTCTGTCTTTGTGCCAGTACCATACTGTCTTGATGACTGTGGCTTTGTAGTATAGTCTGAAGTCAGGCAGGTTGATTCCTCCAGTTCCATTCTTCTTTCTCAAGATTGCTTTGACTATTCAAGGTTATTTTATATTATGTGACTTTTACCACAATAAAGAACATCTTTTAAAACTGAGTGGGATACCAGACAGAGCTCAAGCTACATTCAGTAACAGTGAGGCCACAGCAATCCCCACACTCCACCTGCTCTTTCTGGTCGCACACTCGCCATTTCTACCTAGAAAGCTCCTTCCCCATGCTGCCTGTTGGACAAACTCCAAACTAGCCTCTCCAAACCACTCCCTCTATAGACCACATCTGACCAAAACAGAAGAGTGAATGCCACAGATATAAGACACAACACACTCCATTTAAAACCTAGGAAAGGGCAGCAGCAACAGTTACAACTGCTCAGGAAGGGCCACCCTCTCCCATTCTTACAGCACTCCTGCCTCACCCAAGTCTGGCCTGTGGGAGATAAATGAACCAAGGCAATATCACCAACAGCATCCCGATCCCGTTGTGCTTGAATGGTAAGTGGGGAGCCTGCAGCATCTCAAGCATTCACTGGAAGAGCTGACTGATCATCCAAAACGAGATCAGCCTCTAGGGCTAGAGCAGAACAAGATGATGCTAGGCCCATGGAAAACTGTTGAGGTCTTCTCTCTAAGACACATGAGAACTCTTAATTTCCAAGCCACTTTGCATAAGGCGAAGACAACGTAGTAAACCCTGGAAATGTATCATAAAGTGATGTCCACATGTGCAACACTAGTCCATAAAAATAATCTCTTGCCAGCAATCCTTCTCACCTGCCCTACTACAAAGGCCTTCAAAGGTGTACTTGAAGACAGGAGCATCAAAGAAAGAAAGATGTCTAGATCCATGAGACACTCACTGAAAAAGAGTCACCCAGTCACCTGACCAATAATATTGACGTTCAACACATCAGGTGCAAAATGCCAACTTTTCTAGTCTTAATGCCACTGACATCTTAGGGTTTAGTTGTTACCGTAGTGGAGCCCTGCATATGCTGACTAATATAAGATGCATGCTCTCCTGGGTATTTGCTCTGTGTCAGGTAATATACTAAGCACTGATCACAGAAAACCACTGAGGTCATGTTTGTTTTCACTTAATCCTCACGACTCTGTGAAGTAGATTTTTTAATTCTTACTTTAAGTGTAAAGTAACTGATGTATTAAGGGGTTAAACAACCTGCTGAGGTCACAACTCTAGTCCAGCCACAGATGATGGACAAGCACAGAAGCAGGAAATACAGCATGAGACAGCAAAAAGCAAACTGAAGGAGAGAGTTTCGAGTCCACACTGCCATTTCCTACAAGTCCACCTGCTGAAAGGGAGTCACCTATTTGACTCTGAGCTTTCAGATGCCAGCAGAAAAAGGACAATCTGTTCAGTTACTGAATACTCTGTGTTTAGACAATAAAAGTCAAATAACTCTGGTAAATTACAATCATTCCAGGTGTTTAGATCACACAAGAACTTCTCCACAGGGGTACTGGTAACAGAAATCAACCATCCCACAATGCACAATATCTGAAACAACATCCATGCAAGAGGTGCGTGGTCAATTTCATGAGACTATTTCTCATAATCACTCTCAATATAAACTGATAGCATCAACCAAACATACAATTCAGGAAAAGCAACTCACTGGAACCCAATAGGGTACAGTCTAGAGACTTGTTCCCTGCCGACCTGACTCGACCAAGAGATAAGTTTTGAAAGCTATTCGGGAGGGGAAAACATATTAGATTTGTGTTTTGTAAGCAATTCTCCCTGGATTTTCTTCCTCTCAGACAACACATTGAGAAATAAGAGTGGTTATGAGCTTCAGATTATACACTCTGGCAGCAATCTACACTGCCAGAGGGTACAGCCTTTTCAGCTCACCTCCTTTCTTCCTTTTCAGGCCTTCACTTTCTGGTGTGCAAGACAGATCACAAAGGAACATTCCAGTGGTCAAAGTTAAGGATTCCAAAGACTCAGAGAGACCTAGAAACTCTCAGGAGCCACAGAGATGCAGAGCCACTTCCCCGGCACTAGGACTGGCCACGGAGAACCTCTGGGAAGGAGGAGAAGGAAAAGAAGGCTAGCTTTCTGTGGATCCTCAGCATGAAGTATTCAGACCCATGATCCTAAGTCTTATTGCAGCTCCTCCTGCTCTTTCACAAATTATATTTACCTCTCTTGGTGGAATTCCTTGGCATCGTAACACCTGCTGGAAGAGGCTCCAGACCACAGGTGTCTGTGGCAGGCTACTTGGGGAAGGCTTACAACTCGAGAGGTTCCCAAAAGACAGTCATCTGGAAGCTCACCTCACTCTGTTTTAAAGTGGCCACACTCAACTGATGTCAACTCCATCACCATTAATTTGGAAGAAAACAAAAGTCTCCTAAACCTACCCCCACCCCTAGAATTGGGCTCAGCCTCCAAAGCACATGTCCCAGTTGGGAGAAGACCAAAACAACTGTGGACACGGCCATAAGCTGAGGACTCAGCAGTATCTCCCTACATCGGGACAGAGAAGCTATTTCCCTGGACAGGTTGAGGTCAAAATGTAGCAAAGGCCCCAGATGCTCTGATGAGAGTCAAGCATAAAAAGTCAACAGAGAAATGGAAAACGGTAGCAAGGAAATTGGATTTTGAAAATCCATTTGGGTTTGGTAATGTATAGCATATCAGCATCTGTAAGGGAAGTAAAAATAGTGCAGGATACATACTTTAAGATACATTAAAGCATAAATAAAGTTTATAGTGCCAATCAGGATTTTTTTTTAAACATGAGCTCCTCTTTTGAAAATGAGAGGAATAGAAATTCAATAAAAATATAAATGTGTCTGCCTCTGCATTTCTCAGATATGATCCTGTGTATTCTTAAGCAGAATTGAGTTCAGAAAAGAAACTAAAGGTTTGCAGGGCTTCTGCTTGCTCCATGCGAGGCACTGTGCTTGAGCTATGTAAGTATGTATATAAATACATATATTTTTTTAATATTTCTATATGTATGTTTATGCATGGAAGTGGGCTTCCCAGATGGTGCAGTGGTAAAGAATCTGCCTGCCAATGCAGAAGATGCAAGAGGATTTGAACCCTGGGTCGGGAAGATCCCCTGGAGGAGGAAATGGCAACCCACTCTAGTGTTAGCCTGGAAAATTCCATGGACAGAGGAGCCTGGCGGGTTACAGTCCATGGGGTCGCAAAGAGTTGGACATGACTGAGCATGCACACACAAATGCATGAAAGTTAAGTCTTACCAACCCCACTCCCTAAGACAAGGGTCAACCAACTTTTTCTATAGAGGGTCAGACAGTAAAGATGTTCACGTTGCAGGTGTATTGGTTTTTTCTTGCT